GGATGAGGCCATCACTTAAGGGAAGGATTATAATTCTTTGTGGTAATTCTTTATAACTATGGGAACAGTTAATACCAGATGTGGTACAAGGAGACAGAACTTTTCCAAATCTAGAGGAGACAGGCGAGCCTTCAGGAAGCAGTGATGCTTGAGCTAGGCTCTGACCAGTGAAAGGAAGTAGCTGGAAGGGCAAGAGGCATAGGAAGAAAGAAGTAATTCATTTACTATGCAAAATACAAAACCTTAAATGGTGTCGTTCTATTTTCTGTTTATTTTGGAATCTAGGACCCATAGGCATGCCAAGAGGAACCAGGCCCAAGAGGGAGACCTGGGCTTCCTGGACTAGTTGAGAAGTGCCCACCCCTACCTCAGTCTGCCTTTTCCGTCAAGTGGAGTGGGCCTTTCCCAGGACCCTCCCAGCCCATTGTCTTCCAGGAAGTTCTGTACAACCATCAGGGCCACTTCAACCCTGCCCACTGGCATGCTCACCTGCAGCGTCCCTGGCGTGCTCACCTGCAGCATCCCTGGCATGTACCAACTTGGCTTTGGCATTGAGTTGTTTCAGGGCACTATCAAAGTGGGTCTCATGCTGAATGGCACCCAGATCCGGGACAAGCTGGGGATAGCCATGAGCAGGCGTCGGGAAGTTCCATCTTGGAGCTGGAGAAAGGTGATAGGGTCTGGCTGGAGTCTAAGCTGGACAAAGAAGAATCTGAAAAAGGAACTACTCACACCGTGTTTTATGGGTTTTTGCTCAATGGAAATTAAGACGGCTAGGGGTAACTGCACAGTTCTCTCCCTCAAGTAACTCTGAATTTAAGAAAAGAAGCTTCCTGCATCCCAAATATTTCATTTAGAACTGCTAAATGATAAACAAATCACTAAAACAGTAATGGCAAACTTGGACAAAATGAAGGTATTACCAATTGCTGAAACCAATAAAGATGCATGGCTCATCAATTTATCAATAATTTCTTGTGATTCCCAAATTTCAAGATCCTGGGTGGCAATAAGTGGGTGAAAAAACAAAGTCAGGTTGCTGTTAAACACGCCAGGAAAACCCCCGTTCAGCTCCTGTTTTGCTTGCTCCCACCCCGCCGCCCTGGTGGCTCAGCGGTAGGTAAAGGATCCGCCTGCCAATGCAGGAAAGGTGGGTTCGATCCCTGGGTCAGGAAGATCCCCTGGAGAAGGAAATGGCAACCCACTCCAGTATTCTTGTCTGAAGAATCCCATGGACAGAAGAGCCTAATGGGCTACAATGCTTGGGATCACAAAATTAGATCATGACTTAAGGACTCAACACCACCCCACCTCACCTCCAGGGGACAAAAAACCTCACTCAAAGTCTCAAATCTCTTTTGGGAATTAAGGATGTAAATATAGAAGTAAATATCTCTGGCAGAGATAGCAAGTTTGCTTAAAATACCAAATGAAGATGCTTTCCATCAAAGGATTACCCTAAAGATAATTGGATAAGTGATAGTACATAAGGCAGAGGGTCAAAGATGGAAGTGAAGAAAATTCTGTGGCTTCATAGTTTTCAGATTAATAATTAATTTATTTGAAGCTGCTACTTACTTACCCAGTATCCCTTCTACAAGTTTCTATTACAGCTAATTTTGTTCGCATTGCCTCAATGAACCCATTTAAAAAAAGAAAAAAGTAATTTGACCAGCCGCTATTGCATTCAGGGTGGCCACGAAAAACACTATCCTTCCTGGTGAGATGTAAGTGCATGGTACTTACAGGAGTCATATTTAAAAGGGAAATGACTCAACTGGCTTATGTTCTTGGTGTTTGATCTCTGCTCTTTGCTTTCTCCTTTTCTTCTCTAAGGAATGAAGATGCAGTGCTTACAGCTGCAACAACCATCTTGCAGGCATTAAATCAAAGCCACATAATCCATGGTTGAGCAGGAGGGTAAAAGTAACAATGTTTTTTGTACACTGACATAAGTCAACTTTATACTACTGATGACTAGACTTTTAAAAGAATATTGGGGACTTTCCTGGTGGTCCAGTGGCTAAGACTCTGCACTCCCAATAAAGGGGGACTATATTCAAATCCTGTTCAGGAAACTAGATCCCATATGCTGCAACTAACGATTTCATATGCCACAACTAAGACCCAGTGCCAAATACATAAATTAATATTTTTAATTAATATTTTTAAAATAAAAGAATATTGATGGGTTTCTTTTTATTGAAATATAACTTAAATACAGTAAAACACAAATCTAAAGTAAGCTGTTTAATTAATTTTATATGCATACAAACATGGACCCATCATTCAGATTGATACATAGAACATTTCTGTCATCCCAGAAGTCTCCTTGGTGCCCTTCCCATCCACAATCACACCTGCATCACTGAATTTGTTTTTCTGACTGTCAGCATCATTTATCAATTATCTTTGCCTATACTCATGCTCAGGAGTGTAGGAGGAGAAGGGGACGACAGAGAATGAGATGGTTGGATGGCATCCCGGAGTTTGAGCAAGCTCTGGGAGTTGGTAATGGACAGGGAGGCCTGGCGTGCTGCAGCCCATGGGGTTGCAAAGAGTTGGACATGACTAAGCAACTGAACTGAACTGATGCTCACTCTCAGTTGCTCAGACATGTCCAACTCTTTGTGACCCCGTTGACAGTAGACTTCTAAGCTCCTCTGTCCATGGGATTGTCCTGGCAAGAATACTGGAGTGGGTTGCCATTTCCTCCTCCAGGGGATCTTCTCAACCCAAGGATGGAACCCGCATCTCCTGCGTCTACTGTATTGGCAGATGGATTCTTTATCACTGAACCACCTGGGAAGCTGTCCTCTTTGCCTATACCTGTACTTTGTATGAATGATATAATCCAATATAAAATCTTTTGCATCTAGTGTTTTTTCACTCATCATAATGTCTGTGAAATCCTTCCACACTGTGGTAACAGAAGTGAAAGGTCTCATTGAATGGAAATGTAGTCTTCCATTACAAATATGCCACCATTTATCTATTTACTCTTCTGCTGATGGATATTAGGGTGACTTTGTGATTGGGACTCAGTATAATAAACATAAGATCCATTTAACAGAAGAATCACAGATCCAAAATGGTATCACTTGTGCTAAAGCTCATGATACCACAAACTTAGATTTAAAACCTAACCTAATTGTAGTTTTGATCTTTCTTCAAAATGTAATCTTAATCAACCAGTTTGGAATTTTCTTGTCAGCACCAATGAGGTAATATGTCACATAGGTTCTTTCCATCCTCCAAAGGAATGAGTCCATCCATATGATTAAGTCCTCACCATTTCCTTCCCCCCAAAAGACATTGTTGTTCACTAGTATTCTTTATGTTATGTACCACAGCTTGTTCATCCATTCATGAACAGTGACTCACTGGTTTGTTTCCAGTTTGGGGCTGTAACAAATAAAACTATTTGAAACATTTATGCACAGGTTTTTACAGAAATATACATTTTCATTTCTCTAGGATAAACACCCAGGAGTGGATTGCTGGTTGTAGCTTTTAGCATACATATCCTGTACATGTCTTTTTAGACTTTTACACAAGTACTTCATTTCTTCAGAGCTATAATACATGGTATTGTGTTTTTCATTCTATTTGCAATGAGTTCACTGGTAGTAAACAGAAATATGATCAATTTTTGTGTGTGTGCTGACCTTCTCTCCTTTAACCTTGTCTAACTCACTAATTAGTGCTAGGAGTTTCTTTTGTAGAGTCCTTGAAATTTTAACAAAGACAATTGGGGCAGGTTTATTTCTTTTGTTTCCTGATGGGCATGCATTTTATCTCCTTTAACTGTTTATTACAATGGCTACAACGTCTAGTACTATGTTGAAAAAGAGTAAGGGCAAAGGTATTTTCCTGATCTTTGGGAAATGAAATTTCATGGATACACATACCAGGAGTCAGCCTGTGATAAGTTGAAACTATATACTCTAAATGTTACAAAAATCATACTAGAAAAAAAACACAATAAAACCAAAGGTATAGATAATAGCCCAATAGTGGAGATAAAGAAAATGTTTATATATATATATATATGTATATATATATATATATATATATATATAATTTGTATAAGGAATACTACCCAACCATAAAAGAGAATGAAATTTTGTCATTTGCAGCAACATGGAGAGACTTGGAGGGCATTACAGAGAAAGACAAATGCTGTATGATATCACTTGTATGTGGAATCTAAAAAATACAACAAACTAGTGGTTTAAAAAAAGAAGCAAACTCACAGATACAGACAACAAACTAGTGGTTACCAGTGGAGAGAGGGAAGGGGGTTAAGAAAAAGGGAAGGGTTATTATGGAATTATACGAAATCATGTGTGTGAAACTTTTGAAAATGTAAAGCACTAGAGAATCTAGAGAATCTTTCATTCGATTAAAAATAAGTAAAAATTTAAAGAGCCACTATAACCAGTGTACATGCTCTTCAATAGGAAATAGTTACATTAACTATAGGATATCCAGGGTGGTGGTGGTGGTTTAGTTGCTAAGTTGTGTCCGACTCTTGTGACCCCATAGCCTGTAGCCCACAGGCTCCTTTGTCCATAGGATTCTGCAGGCAAGAATACTGGAGTGGGTTGCCATTTCCTTCTCCAACAGGACATCCATATGTATATGCAATACTATACACAAACAATAGAAATTTGAAAAAAGCAAAAATAAATAGAAAAGTTATATGCATATGTGTATGGAAAATACAAAAGGATTAACACCTAAATAAATCAATCAATAAAAATTTTAAAATTCTCAATTATTCCAGAAATTAGTAAAAGAAGAAAGAGGGTACAAACAACACATAGAGCTTCTGTCTGAACATCAGCTGGCACAACTTCACCCTGGTTAAAAACCAACAGAGGGAGGGGGCGGGTGGACATCTTGGGATCCGGAGAGTGGCCGGGCCGGCCGAGCAGAGGGCCGCGGACACCAGGTCTCTTCTCAGAGCGATGGGCTGCGAAGACTGAGCTGCCGCCATGATTGGAGGCTTATTCATCTATAATCACAAGGGGGAGGTGCTCATCTCCCGGGTCTACCGAGATGACATCGCGAGGAATGCAGTGGACGCCTTTCGGGTCAATGTTATCCACGCCCGGCAGCAGGTGCGCAGCCCCGTCACCAACATCGCTCGCACCAGTTTCTTCCATGTTAAACGGTCCAACATCTGGCTGGCAGCTGTCACCAAGCAGAATGTCAATGCTGCCATGGTCTTCGAATTCCTCTATAAGATGTGTGACGTAATGGCTGCCTACTTTGGCAAGATCAGTGAAGAGAACATCAAGAACAATTTTGTGCTCATATATGAGCTGCTGGATGAGATCCTAGACTAGCTACCCACAGAACTTGGAGGCAGGTGCACTGAAAACCTTCATCACCCAGCAAGGCATCAAGAGCCAGCATCAGACAAAAGAAGAGCAGTCTCAGATCACCAGCCAGGTGACCGGGCAGATTGGCTGGCGGCGGGAGGGCATCAAGTATCGCCGGAATGAGCTCTTCCTGGATGTGCTGGAGAGTGTGAACCTCCTTATGTCCCCGCAAGGGCAGGTCCTGAGCGCCCATGTGTCAGGCCGGGTGGTGATGAAGAGCTATCTGAGTGGCATGCCTGAGTGCAAGTTTGGAATGAATGACAAGATCGTCATTGAGAAGCAAGGCAAAGGCACAGCTGATGAAACAAGCAAGAGCGGGAAGCAATCAATTGCCATTGATGACTGCACCTTCCACCAGTGTGTGCGACTCAGCAAGTTTGATTCTGAACGCAGCATCAGCTTTATCCCACCAGATGGAGAATTTGAACTCATGAGGTATCCACCACCAAGGACATCATCCTTTCCTTTTCGCGTGATTTCGGGAAGTGGGACGCACCAAGCTGGAGGTCAAGGTGGTCATTAAGTCCAACCTCAAACCCTCACTACTGGCTCAGAAGATTGAGGTGCGGATCCCAACCCCACTGAACACTAGCGGGGTGCAGGTAATTTGCATGAAGGGGAAGGCCAAGTATAAGGCCAGTGAGAACGCCATCGTGTGGAAGATCTAGCTCATGGCAGGCATGAAGGAATCCCAAATCAGCGCTGAGATTGAGCTGCTGCCCACCAACGACAAGAAGAAATTGCCTCGACCCTCCATTTCAATGAACTTTGAGGTGCCATTCGCACCTTCTGGCCTCAAGGTGCGCTGCTTGAAGGTGTTTGAACCAAAGCTGAACTACCGCGACCACGATGTCATCAAATGGGTGCGCTACATTGGCCGCAGCGGCATGTATGACACCCGCTGCTAGCTGCCTGGTGGCCGCTAGCCCACCTCCCCACCCACCCGCTTCCACAGGTCTGGGTGCCCTCGGCCACCACACATCAGTGTCTCCTCCCTCCTGCTTTGCTGCCTTCCCTTTGCGCCAGCCCCTGAGTCTAGGTCTGGACCAACCACGTTGCAAGTGGGACTGGTGGAGCAGCCCCTGGGCTCCCTGAACGGGGTGGCTTCAGAGGCTCCTGCTCCACCATCCATCTGCCCGCCCTAGCCCACTGCCAGGCTCTTGAGTTCAGTGACCAAAGCCAAGTGGGCCCCTTCTCCTCCCGTCTCCTGTGGCCACGTCTCTGCAGTGGGAGGGTTGGCTGCCCCTCACCTCGGAGCTCCCCCAAAGGCCAGTAACGGATCCCCAGCCCTCAATTCCTCCTCTGCTTTGGGATAGTGTGAGCTTCATTTTGTACACGTGTGACTCCGTCCAGTTATAAACCTCATAAACTGTAGAGCGGAATAAAAAAAAAAAAAACCAACAGAGGTCATTAGCCTCAGACAGTAAAAAATTAAATATTAAAGAATATTGATTTATTAGGACATCTTCCTCATGCCTTTGACAGGCAAGCAAGTGAAAGAGGAACAGAGCAGCTGAAGACATACCCCTTACAACAACTTCCACCTTTGCATCAGGATGCCTGGGAGAGGAGGACAGTCTCTCTCCATGGTGTGTGCAGGTAAGTGTAATCACTACTGACTGATAGAGAACTGCATTCCATATGTTGTTACAAAGAACTATCCAAAGGACTCTCTCCTGCCAACACTTGTGATTCATTTTATGATCATAATAATTCTGAGATACAGTTTTCCCACAACACAGGCAAAAGGATAGATTTCATTTCAGCATTTCCAATCAGATACAGCAAATACAAGTGGAAACTTCCATTTCCACCCCCTTATATTTGGACTGAAGCTTATGCTATCGATTTGTAAATAGCCCTAATTAATAGCAAATTAGCACAAGGGACTTATGATATAAAGAAAACAGAAGGAGAGAGAATGCAAAAATTTCATGTGTTTGACTGTGGAATGCGTGTTTCTGTTTCCCTTCTCTACAGTGATGAATACAATATCAAGCTCTTCCCCATTTCACAAGTTGTCATGAAAAGGAGATTAAGGACGTGAAAGACACGTCTCTAGACACCATAGACAATTTTTGTATGTCCATCTTAGAATGGATCCATCTCTGATGGATGCTCTGGGTTGTCACGTTAGTGACCATCACCACTGTGAGGGGTCACCTTCCTTTGTTGGGAAATCAGCATAGTACGCTCACAGGAAGGTCAGAAGATGGGAGGGAAGTATCACATACTCAGGAGCCACACCGTAGCGTCCGTATGTGATGTGAGACCCTTTTCATACCTCGTTTTCTTTAAGCCTCAAAACCACTTAACGAGGAAGGTGCTATTTGCTGCACCGTTCTGAATATTAAGCAGAGAACACAAGGTGACCTGGGACACATTTCACAAAACGGACTAGGACTTACATTCCCCTCTCTCTCTGAGTGACTTTGGAAAACACGTTAAAAAATGAGGGTAATTCTTCTCTTCATGACTTTTCTTCTCTTCACTCGAAGCTTCAAAAAAACCATAAATGAAGGTCAGCTTTGCTGCAGAAAATTGATGATGGTTTGCTTGCCTTTGGAAGGAAGTAGAGTTGCCTGGAGCTAGAAGTAGAAATGGGGGGTTGATTGCAAATGGGCACATGGGGTCTTTTGAGGATGATGGGGATATTCTAAAATTGGATGGTGGTGGTGGTTACACAACTGTGGGAATTTGTTTAAAATCATTAAATTTTACACTTAAAATGAAAGAGATTCATGGTATACAAACTATATCTCAACAAAAAGCTGGTTTTTCTTTTTTTTTTTTTTAGTGTATTTTTGCCTGTTGAAATGTTAACACTTGGACGTGTCTACTCAACAAAAGTTACTTCATCAGTGTTTCATTGATGAGATGAATTTCAGTTTTCTAGGATAATTTTTGTTTGTACATATGCTAAACCATAAACAGAGGCACCTATCTAGCTTTTCTTCTCATGTCTATGCTATACCACTGCTTAATTAAGGCAGGTAAAGGGGTGTCATTCAAGGAAAGTCCTACATGTTTGTATATTTTCAGTTCCTGGTTGAGCATTTTCTCTATAGCCAACAATGCATTAGATGCTTTATTTGTTAGTGATTCTCACCACAACCCTCATTATCTCTATGTCACAATTTGGAAAGAGATATTCAGAGAAATTAAATTTCTCAAGCTCTGATTTTTATTTTGCTATGATATACTATCTATTTACCAATTTTTTTTTGTCACTTAGGCCTGGAATATATTTTACATAACCCTATATACCATTATAAAATGAAACGTGATACTTTTTTACTGATTAAAAAAAAAACACCCAACAACATCATTTCCAAAGACCATCTTGTGTTTCAATACTTCAGGATCAAGCAAAGGTCTTTGGATCCCCAAATAATTGAAAGTTATTCCACTGTTTGGCATGAATTTGTTCATCATCACTTGTTCACTTGACAGCTTCTCTTTCTGTGCATTTTAAAATACAACAATTTTAAAAAAATAAAATACAACAATTAGTTCCCTTTGAGGAAATCATGGTGGATATCCTAAGATGAGTGAACTCTAAATTGTTTTTTTTTATTTATTTATTTTTAATTGGAGGATAATTGCTTCACTGTATTTTGTTGGTTGCTGTCATACATCAACATGAATCAGCCATAGGTATACATATGCCCCCCTGTCCTGAACCCTAACTGTTTTTCAAGGATGAAAAGAAGTTTACCATGCAGATACAAGGAAAACTTTTAGTAAGCAGTGTAGAATCAATAAATGAAGCCCCCAGTCGACTTTTTTTGAGGAAACACCAGGCTTAAGGGCTGCAGGTGTCTAGCCGTCATAAGGATAATACCACAAGACTATTCACTTAAAGAGATGGGGGACGGAAAGACACAGGATGTTTGGGTGTCCTAGAGGAAACCTCTAGGTCATCAGAAGTTCACATTTCAGTAAGAATGTTAACAGCAAATACAAGGAAACTACCGATTATCTTTGGCCCTGATTACCCCCCATTAAGTGGTGGGGGGGCGTCGGATTTACTTGGCAGTCCAGTGGTTAAAACTTCTTCTGGTGTAGGGGTTGTGGTTTCAATCCCTACTAGGGGAGCAAAGATCCCACATGCCTCTCAGCCAAAAAAACCAAGACATAAAACAGAAGCAATATAGTAACAAATTCAAAAATAAATTTAAAAAGAAGAAGGAAAGTGGGGGGAAGTTTCTCTTTATGATCGAGTTCACGGTTATTTTTTGAGGTTGGGAGACCTGGCTGCCAAGACAGTGTTGGGAACATAATTTTTCAAGAGAAGCAGCCCCATCTTTCAACTTATGTGAATATTTATACGTTTGATCCCCTGCTCTAGATGTCTGGATTTTAGCTTTGTCTGTTCTATCAGTCACGGCTGATGCCACTTCTCCAGAAGTTACCGGGTCCTGTGATTCTCAAGGACTTCCAGGATTTCCAGGGCCCCCAGGCCCTCCAGGGTTTTATGGTCCTCCAGGTGAGAAAACATTTCTCTTCACATTGCATCGGTCACCTCTTTCTGACTGAAATATCTATAAGCTCGAGGAAATATCCAGATGCTTCTGATGGTCAGTAACAATGGAGACAATGATTTTTGGAGGGAAATTACCAAGGTTTCCCACTTCCCAGCCCATCTACACACCTAGAGTCTTAAAGCAGATGATGCGGTTTTTACCCCAGAAAAACGTCAGGGATGGGTTCTGAAGAAGCTGCCATGTGAACTTAAATGACAGTTCAGACATTATATTGGTGTATTCTTTAATATGGCATAGTTACCCTGTGCTGTGCTTACTTACTCAGTCGTGTCCAACTCTTTGCAACCTCGTGGACTGTAGCCCACCAGGCTCCTCTGTCCATGGGGATTCTCCAGGCAAGAATACTAGAGTGGGTTGTCATGCCCTCCTCCAGGGGATCTTCCCAACCCAGGGATTGAACCCAGGTCTCTTGCATTGCAGGCAGATTCTTTAACATCTGAGCCACCAGGGAAGCCCAGTAATACTGGAGTGGGAAGCCTATCCCTTCTCCAGGGGAACTTCCCAACGCAGGAATCGAACTGGGGTCTTCTGAATTACAGGCGAATTCTTTACCAGTTGCGCTACCAGGGAAGCCCATAATTATTCTGTGTTCACCCTTGATTCACACTGAAATACTGTTGAGTTTCCTGCAAACTCAAGGGCAAAATGGTATTGTAGAAAACAACTGAGAATAAGGCATTATGCACTTTCTCCTCAATTCTGAGAACTTACTTTGACATCTCAATCTCACTGGAAATTATTCACCAGAGTGATCCAGCATCATTGATTCCTTAACCTGGCTGCCTTTAAATCATCTGTGGACATTGGTTAATATTCAGGTTCCAGGTTTCATGCCCTTGAAATTCCAATTCAGATGGTCATGTATTATTAACTAAGACACTACTATTCACAGGTTCCACAGCTGACTCTCGTGCATAGTCCAGCCAGGGAAATATTTCTCTAATATCCCTTTTTATCTCTGGAATGCTACAGTTCC